TTTTTTTTTTTTTTTTTTTTTTTTTGCTGAAGGGAGTTCCAAGGATCTACTTTTCATATTCACTCTGAAGTATCTGAAATATCTACCTAATAAGACCAATATGACCAAGTACTAAATGCATTCTGTACATACATATGGTCTTACTGAGTAGGTATGATCAAAAATTCATAGTTGGATAAGAAACTCTCCCTCTCTGACTTGACTAACTCTGTTATTTTGCGAGTCCAAATTTCCCCAACCTGTAAACCTCAGAAGTGTGAAAATGCCATTCTGATTACTGTCTTGATGGCCAAAAATAAGAGAATAAGACACAGGCTGACTTTTACTTTTGAATATGTGCTTTAAAATAAAAAGAAAAAAGCTTCTAAGTTGACATTAGTGACACAGGCAAATAGGATTGTTCTGTATGTAGAAAACTGAACACTTAGAAACTTACCTGCCTTGTTCTTTGCCCTGCAGATTTCTGTCTGAAGCTTTGGGAAACCTTAATAATGTCATTAAACTTCTTGTGTTTAAAACTAGGATCTAGGATTTTTTCCTCCAAGAGTTGCTGAGTGTGCGTGCGTGCATTTAATAGTGATTGGCTGAAACTGGCTGAACCATTGCTGCTTTTGGTGTTGTAACAAACTGCTTGATAATTGCTGAAAATTGATGCATTTGATGGTTCCCTTGCTTTTTCTGCTGCAATTCTGACACACGATTAGGTACACTGACTAAAACAACAGACGACAGTTTGTTTTCATCTCCAGTGAAAATCACCCCAGGTGCATTTTAAGAACTGTCTGTCGTCCTGTGAGCTTGTGCTCTCGTCTTTGTTTGGCTGGGAATACATTTGATTAATATGTATTTTCCTGTGTTTTTGGTGTGAATAGATATGTTTGTTTGTGTGTTTTAGTGGAGGGAGGAACATTGTGGTAACCGGCTCCGGATTTGACATAATCCAGACTGCAATCATGAAGGTCCAGGGAGGCAACTGGTCGGCTTCAGAGGTTCCTGTTCATTTTCCGTATCTTCATCTGAGTCAATGCACTGATGCATCTCTGACAGTCATTATCTTAGATCTTCTTACCCTTTCTCCTAAATGTTGCTTTTTCTCCCATGTTTTCCCTCTCTCACAGTACCACCACTCTTCAATTCCCCCACTTCTCATGAACCCCAACTCTAGTTTTGATTCATTCAAACTCTGTGAAGCATTGCAATTAAACGAACACACAACAATAAACAAAACACACATGTCCACTCCTCCTTGCTGCCACTGATCAGTGAGATTTTATAATACTTCATGTCACTTCCTGAGCCATAAATCCCTAAAACCTGTAGGATTGCAGATATTACCACCAATGTTTCACCCTCACCCAGAATGTAACTATGGCCCTCGTCCAGCTCAATCAGGTAGGACTGACTGTGCCAGGGAACTTTAAGGACCTGCACACAGCTTGCCACCGTCTGCCCTCCAGTGTACTGGGCAGTCTTAAGAAGTAGCAGTTTTGTTCATTTAATTTAAAGGAAATGATTTTAAACCAGAATCAGGGTTACTGAAGATTATGTGCCTGTTTCACTCTTCACGATTTTACTCCCGTCCCAGCGAAGTCCCCTGGCTAATTTTCTGGCTGCCACAAACTAGCAGTAGATGTAAAGTGTTATCTCAAAGACCTTGGTTGGTCAGCCTCACAAGCTTCTCTTGGTTTAAGTCCATCTCTGAGCCAGACCCAAATATGAGGACCCATTATGGCTGCTGGCATATATTTAAAAACATGTAGATTTCTAGGTCAAGTTGCTGACCTGAACTTTATTTATTGTGTGTGGTTTTATTCTCTGTAAAGACCAACTAGTTCTTATTTTGGATTTTAAACTTCCTGAGAGTCCTTGAGTCTGTGCAGCATATGTTTGTAGTTACAACCTAGATGGATTTTTATAGACTTCTAAATCGCAGTTGATTGGACCGCAGAAAATCCTACTAAATAGTTGCTACGAAATGTTTACTTATACCAAATGTGACTGTTGCACACCTAATGGAGCCAACAAAAATAACTTTTTAATGGATGGATCATGTTAAAGATCCAGCACATACCTATGGTACAGTATTGTTTGTGCTGTTGGCAAAGTGATGTACCTAATCACACTGAGAAAAGTTCCTTTAAAAAAGGGGTTGGTAGAACTTGTTTATCTAGAAGATAAATATGGGACTGATTTAATATTTATATACAGCAAAATGCATTTACGTGTATGTATGATTATGGGGCCTCCATTGTCTAAAAAACAAAAGTGTGCTACAGTCAGCCAGACACCTTCCCACGATGTTAAATGTGTAGTGAAAGATTGGTATGGATTTATATTTGTTCCATCAAATAGAAATCTATATAATGTTAATAACATTCAAAAGTTATTTTGAAGACTGGACTAATTCACATACCTTCAGATCTCATTGTTTCAGGTACATTAATGCAGTGATTTATTCAACATTAAATTTTTGATACAGTCTCTAAATAGAGTAAACTATTTTTGTGGGTCCCCTGGAGTTCTTTACTAGTCCTCTACTATATAAATGTAATTGTAGTTCAGGTCAGGTGGTTGCCAGGCAATGTAATGTTGTCATAATAGATGCCATAATAGTCAAATTAAGTGGATGCAAATTAGATGCTACTGCTGTCAAATGAAAATGATACAATGCTTTTATGAAGTTTTATATTTGCATATATGCAAAAAGTTGGTCATTTGCAGTTTGATTGTAGGTGGCTGCTAGGCAACATAATGTTGTCAAATCTAATCTAGATAACATGTAGCTGTGTGCCACATGTGGATGCTGAATCCTGATTGTGTAGGAGGAGTATACGGACAGATTTGGCATGTTATAGTAGTGAGTGTAAATATACATTCAAAATGCCTTCAAATGGGCAATTTGCAAGATTTTTAAAAGGTGAAGGGGAGAATTTGAAGAAATTCTGGTTTTGATATTATGCCAGAGACTTCTGTGACGTGCTTCTTCTTTCAGCTGCTCACAATAAGCATTAGAGAACCCGGTCCCTGCGGAAAGGTGTGAGTGTGTCTAAAATTGGTAGTTTTACACGTATTTCTATTGTATTCTACTTCTAAACCAATTTTAGCCCTGTGTGAATCACTATTTAAAAGACAAAATATTTCAGAAAAAATATCAAATTAACACCTTTTATTAACTTAATTATTAGCCTTATTTTCTGAAGTTTGGCACTTGAATTTACAATGACACCCTGATTACAGTCCAGATGTTTCCTAACCACCTATTGACATGTTTAGAAAGAGGGTGAGTCCCAATCACAGGATATTCTACATTGTTACACTGCACACTAGATACCAAAACATAGGAATTACCGGTACTATTATGTCTGAAAACTTAAAATGTGTGTTCTCAGTCTTTCTGTTATGTATTAATAATGACATTTTGACGCCTTTGCTTTGTTCTGTTGGAAAACTTTACCTACTTGTAGAAACGTGGAGTTTAGCTGTCATGCACGTAGTGTCGAAACAATGAGAGTGACAGAAATATCACCATCAGTCCAGTTAATCACAAACAAGCATAGAAAGGCAGTGGAGGAGTGACTCAGTGTGAGTTATGATTCATCAGAGGCCTCATTCTATGATTGAAGATTGAGATTTTAATAGAATGACTGAAAAGACGCACATCATTTTACCTTCCCCATTGTACCAAAACAAGCTTTTTCTTCCCCCCCACAGTCTATTACCATGTATTATATTCACTCCAGTAACGCCCAGTGTTTGCATTATTATTTTTAGTGCTGCTCCATATTTTCCATGCTGTAATTTCCTGCATTTTTTGTCATGCTTGTATTTGTAAAACGCTTTACTGTCCTTCTATCCAACTCAGCTTGCCCATGAGAAGAACGACACAGTCATCCAGTTTCAGTCTCCAACAGTAAACGGCTCCTTAAACCAGCACTTGAAAACAGTCATCAAGCTGGACAACTGGGAGAAGGAGCTGAAGCCCTTTCACTACCACCCTAACCCCAGCTTCAATAATCTACAAAACAAGATCATCACTGCGAACAGCATGATTATCGTTACTGTGAGTACAACCACAAGGTCACTTTAATGCAGTTGCAGTACTATGTTTTCCCTTTTTTTCCTGAAGAGTCGGTGTCTGCTGTGTGTCCTAATTAAGACAAACCGTCTTATTATCTGACTTGAGGATAAAAATGGAAAAGATGCTGAGTTGCATTTGCTGCACATTTGTCATTTGAGCTCAGTGAACGCTTTGGCTTGGAAGCAAAAAAGATTTTTTTTTAAAAATGTTCATTTTGTGATATAATAAACACGCTTTTAGTGTAATGCTGTAAAACTGTTTTATGACAAACACTGCAGGGTCACAAAAAGATTAACACCAGAAAACGCACGGGCAAGTGTTTACACAAAAAGTAGTTTCGTAACACTTATCTGAAATCATGCAGTGTTTTTTGGGCATGGGCCCCAATTAAACAAAGCTTTGTTTTAAGTGGTGTTAAGCCAAATGGTTGAAAAGCCCTCCAAGTCTACCCACGACTACACATTGTTGTTTTAGCCACAGTATAACGAATGTTCATCTTTACGATAGCTAATCTGACACTTTGTGCTCTCGATATCAGACAGTATGTAGATGAGCTAGTAAATAAAAACCCGGTTTCTTTCACTTTTAATCTTTTCATCATCATGGATTTATTTTCTCACGTGTTTTGTAGCATTATTTTTACCTCTCAAGGGTGCCACTTCTTCTTTTTAAAAAGTCCAAGGTGACACTTTCACATTGCTTGTTTTGTTTGACAAGTGCAATAGAGCATTGTCACAAAAGGCAAAGATATGCAACAAACAAAAACGACTGAGAAGCCTGAGCCAGAAAATGAATCGATTTTTCTTATAGCTTATTTTTATGGCTGTTTTGAGCTCCCAGAGTATACCACCTCAAAGTTTCTGTTGATAAACTCACTTGTGGGGAAAGTCATATGCAAAACGTGTAAAACCTTTTCAGTTACTCAGGCGCTGATTAATTTAAGCTGGTTTCACCTTCTTCCAGCCGATATTAGAATAATTAAATGTCTGTAGATCCACAAGTGTGCTGCAAAATCTCAAGAAATTACTGAGAGTGAGGTGCTTACAATAACTCCAATCTTTATCTTTTTAATTACTTTTAGCTCATATTGGAGCAGTAAGGAGCTGTCGTACAGCACACTTCCTACCCATTACTCATAAAATGCTGCCGATAATGTTTTCAGTGCTCATCGTAGGATCTGTCTAATTAATTTCTCTCCCATGTACTTCAGTCACTGCCCTTAGAGCCTCGCATTCACTCTTCCCCCTGCAGGGTCGGGGATTCTCCAAAGCGATGACAACTAAAGAAGCACAAGCCTTCGTAGGCGACGTTCAGTGTGTGGTCAACACCCTTCAGGATGATAAGCTGTTCTTGGAACCACCTTCCACCACGCCTCGTGCTCCTACTCGCTCCAAACATCAGCACAGAGAGACGGGGTCGGAGAATCTGGAGCTAATGGTCAGAGCACACTAACAGATGAGTCCTGACTGATGATCACTTATTTCAGTGAACGTTTTAATGCAACACTGTAAGATCACTGCTTCATAAATAAAAGTACTCGCCTCAAAATCTTAGTATGTTCAAGTTTTAAAGATATCTCAACTTTAAGTACTCAAAATAATGGTCTGTACTGGATAAAGGCTCCTTTTGGATTCTATGTAATCGTTTATTATAATTATACTGCTCTATGTCATGCGTTACACACAAGCAAGCTTCTTTTTAGCCATTTATTTGAATCATAGACAAATTACTAGGCTCTTTTCTTTCTTTTTAAAAAAATTATATTGTTTGGTTTGTAATAAATAAGGAAATGATACGAATGAAGGCAGAGGACACTGGGTACTACTCAGGCTATTAGATTACGGTAATGGATAGTGGAGTAAAATACAGCATTAAAACTGAGCAAAGAAATCTTTCGTGCCCATGGTCTTTATCCTTGTACATGTACCTCAACTGTGTACTTCAGCAAAGTACTTGAGTAAATGGACCATTGCAGATCCATACACAGACTTGAAGATGAGAGCATGCATGCATCATGAACCTTTACTGTTCTTCTCCCGGCAAATCGTCTATACAATTTGAGATCCAATTTTTTTTCCATTGGTTGAACAATTTTCATGTAGCTACAGGCTCTATAATTGCCTGTAATTATAGGTAAGCCACAACTATGATGAATACCATACCTCTCCCTGGGTAATTCTTATTGTTATATGTCAGCGGCTGCTTAAAGAAGTGACACCGCTAGACTATAATCCAGCTTTTTCTATATTGGTATCTGCTGCTGTTGATAAAGTGTCAGACTTGGTACGTTTATGTAATTATCCTCTTTATGCAACCCTACCAACCTGAACATACATACTTTAAAAATACTTTTAAGGTCCTAGAGCTGCTTTAGCCGAGTTGACGGTTGGAATCTAAACTATTCACATTTAGATTTAATCTTTCTACTTCCTCCCCGGTATCGTCCGGTCTTTGCTTTTGACTTTGGCTAAAATGTGGAGAGCTTGTGCAAATGATAAGATTTTTTTCTTTCTACAGATCAAGTTTGGGAAAGGGGAGTGGGTGGTCGACTCGGTGCAATACGAGACGAAGAATGATTTCCCGCTCTACATCATCATCCCTGCTGTCATTGTGCCCATGCTGCTCATCATCACTATCTCTGTCTACTGCTACAGGTGAATTGAGCTATTTTAGGTTAACTTTATGCAGCAGGAGCACACAATTGATTGTGTTTTTTTTAAGAGTATAGATACTTCTCCAGTCAGTCCCAGCTTTCTGTTTGCTAGTTTTTTGTTTTTTTTTTAAAAACGACTTTGTTTGTTTGTGTCTGTTCCAAGAAATATGTTCATATTCATAAGAAATTATTAGGAGCACACCAACAGCGACTGCGTAATAAGAACTAATAGATACCTTGCAGCTAAGTTAGTGGCCAAAAGAAAAGAACCTCTTTGCAACAAGTTAACATTCATCTGTTTGACCTTATTTTCATGATGCGTTTTCTTTGTGTGTGTGTGTTTAATCTTTTCAGGAGGAAGAGTCAGCAGGCAGAGAGGGAGTATGAGAAGGTGAAACACCAGCTTGAGAACCTGGAGGAGAGTGTACGAGACCGCTGCAAGAAGGAATTCACAGGTATAAGCTGTGCAGCTGTGCAGAAGTGTCACAATATTGCTAATGTCCCTCTAAGGATCCGTGTTTTTAAGAAGCTGTAAAGTAATGAATTGGTTAATAGCTCTGATTAAATGCATAAATTCTCCCACTCAATGTCATCTTATCATCATTATTAGAAGCCGCTTTGCAGTAACATTAATAGAAAACAATATTTCACTGTTGAAATCATTTTCCTGGCAATGCTCTCCATTTTCTGCCTCTTGCAGCATCGTAATTGAGACAGACGAGCAGTGTGAAAGTGACAAGAGTTGCTTATTAAAAAGAAACCATGTGGTGTTTTTTGTTTCTTTCTCGCAGACCTAATGATTGAGATGGAGGACCACACCAATGACCTGAATGAGGGACGAATCCCTTTCCTGGACTACAAGACGTACACAGACAGAGTCTTCTTCCTGCCCTCTAAGGACGGTGCCAATGATGTGATGATCACAGGGAAGCTAGACATACCAGAGGCTCGCAAGGCCACCGTGATTCAGTCTCTCAACCAGTTCTCCAACCTCCTGAACTCCAAGACATTCCTCATTAATGTAATTATACTGCACACGCATCATCAAATTGTCAGCTGTGAGCTCGGACCGATAATGCCTGCTTACAGAGAGTTTGCAGTCCTTTAAAACTGTGCAAAATCAAACCTCCAAACACTGAACAATGCTGGATACATCTAGATTTTCAAAGCTTTCTTTTTAGCTTCACTGGGACCAGGACTCTGAGGATGTCAGAGTCAGTTGGTACACTTCAAATAGATCACTATCAAGTTTTACAAAGACATTTATGATTCTAGGATGATGGATGGCTTTGGTGATCCCTCTAACTTCTCTAATAATACCACCAGCAGTCTGGGATTTGCTTGTCTGAGTGAAATGATGCCGGTTGCTTGAGAGACTGCACAGACATTACTGTACCCCACAGGATAATTTGGAAAAACTTGGGTGTTCCAGTGACTTTTCCTCTTGAACTACAGTCAGCTCAGAAAGAATATTTCAACTAATTTGGGCTAACACAATAAGAAGTACTTAAAAAATATTGACATTCCTATCAACCTCAGCTGTAGTTTGTTTTTAGTGCTAAATGGCAAATGCTAATTAACATTACACGAGATGATAGTAATGTGAGACTATTATACCTGCTAAATATCATGCAGCTTGGATCATTTTGGCATTATGACTTTAACATTTAGCTCACAGTAAAGACTCTCAGCTTGCAGCTAGCACAGATTTAGACTCTTATGAAACATCAGTCAGTCTAAATTTAGACACGTAATCACTAATGTTACTTCATATGTTATATAAATGTCAGTCACTGGAGGCTTATTTCTAAACTGCATTATTTCAACTGCTCATCCAAGTGAATCCAAACCCATCAGAGCACCATCAATACCAGAGTCCTCATGCATCAAGTTTCAAGCACAGTGGGTGAACAGATGTCGAGAAGGGTGAAGAACAGACAGACAGATATAAAGATTGGCCTATTAATTCATGAGATGTAGCATACTGTATACCATAAATGGAGTTGACTTGCAAAAGTGGCAGCATTGCAACAATTTCCTCTGAGCTTGCCAGATTTGCACCACTGCATAAACTCTCTAGGCATAAGCTGATTTACTGAGAAAATCACAAATGTAGTTGTGGAGTTGTTTCTGAATGAACTAAAGTGGCCTTGTGTAATGAAAGAGGTAAATCACTGAATGCACCAATACAGCTCTTTTATATGTATTTAGACGACAGTGGAGGTTTGTGGCACAAGGAGTCACGAGGTGGCTGTGGTAATAGGACGGGAGAAAATAGTCTTGAAAGGCAGCAGGATAAATGCAGGGGAGGTTTTCTTTTTCACTAGCATTTCTGATAATATGTGTGTGGGGTTTTTTGTTTTTGTTTTTTTGAAAGAAAAAAGAAAAAAAAAGAAAAGGTCAGATCCAGCCATTACCTTGGGCTACTTAGCTAAATGTTTGTATGATACTATATTGATGGTGTTTTTAAAATGGGCTGAATACCTCACAGATTAAGGATCTATTCTAACTTTAAGCCGCCCCCTTCCTTTGAATTGAGCACTGTAGTGTGTTACAGTTTTGCGGCATATCTAGAGTAATACAAGCGAGAGGCAGAGGACATAGCAGAGGGAGACGTGTGAAGATTCCTGTTAATCCAATATTGCTGGCACAGAAACAGCCTCTGAGGTGCTAACTGCACTTGTGGGGTGATTCCTCTTCCACTAATTGGTATCATTTCTAAGCCACAGTATTTTACAGGGCAGAACTAAATTTACCTTGATAATTATAATTTTCACTAGCATTGGTCTTTTGATAATTTAAAAGCATATTATGTTGGATTTGCTTCTGTGTGTGCTTCATCACGATGATTAATTCACCTCATCATTTGCCTCCTGTTTCTGTGTGTGTATGTGTGTGATTTTTGTGTTTTTGCAGTTTATCCGTACCCTGGAGCGCAGTCATGACTTTAACGCCAGGGCCAAGGTTTACTTTGCCTCCCTGTTAACAGTAGCTCTGCATGGGAAGCTGGAATATTACACCGACATTATGAGAACACTGTTGTTGGAGCTGATGGAGGAATATGTCAACAGCAAGAACCCCAAACTAATGCTGCGCAGGTGAGTGTGGTCCAACTCTCTATTGCTTCTTAATGGTTCTCCTGTATTGCTTTCAGGCTTAATTAGCACAACATTTTTACATAGCATGAATCCAAAATGTTTTGGTGCTTGCTTCCCATTCAGCGCCTTGAAATCTGGTGCAAACATTCATATCCTCTTTCTAGATCTTTCTAGGTCAAAACTGTAACAGTAAATACCTGCTTTTTGCATGCTAACCTACTTAGCTCTGTGTGCTGCTGCCTCAGTCTAGCCTCTCGGCGCCACTCTTCTGGGTGGACTCTTAGATTTGTTTAGCAGTAATTGCTCTGAGATTGTAAAATGTCCTCTTTCTGCAGTTTTGAAGCAGAGTCGCTCAACTCTGGCACTGATATGAACCAGTTGATGCGGACTGGGATTCAGTTCAGAATGCAGCGGACTGTTTCATTCTGTTGCCATGTTTTCTGTTGAATTTTGTAAAGACTTACTGTAGTCCATTATCAAGAGCCAGACTGCTCCATCTATTCCACTCTTCTTCCATCTGCTCATCCTTCTGTTTTTTCCTCTTTTTTTTGTTTTTCCTCATTGGAATCCAAGTAAAATGTGCTGGACAATTTTCTTTCTTCTCTTTCATCTCGTCTTTGTCATCTTCACCTTCTTATCCCTGCTGATTGTAACTAAAAGATCAGCTTTAGTGCTTGAGCCAGCGTAACCCTAACCCAGATTCTATTTTATTAGTTTGACTTTCCAGCTAAGTGGAGACTGGTTGTAAAATTTGGGTTGGTGTGAAATTATAAGTAATTATTGTTTTGCTAAAACTGACCACATACTGGTGAGTTATTTTCTGTCACTAATTTGATTGTTTTAATAGTAATCGTTCGCTATATTCTTCCTGGGCAAAATTTCAGAATTTCTTTGTGAAATTTGAGTCCATAAACATTCAGCTTATTAATCTGATTGAAGTAAATAGCCTTAAGAAACGAAGCTTCCAGATTTTGGTGTTCTTTGATCTTTTTAATGATCATGTCAAGGTCAAGTGATCCATTGACTGCTGCTTCCCCTCCCTCAGCAGGACACACTTGTCTGACGGCACAGTTGCTTATCGTTTCTGAGGGGCAGTTTTGTGATCTGAACTATTCCCTGTGCCTAGGCACGCTGTGACTGACTGTTATGCAAGTACACATCTTAATTATCCCCCAATGGAGAAGCTCATCATGCTGATTAGCCCATTGTGCCAAAACAGACCTCCTTATATACAAGATATCTAATTAGGCATGCTATGTGCATCAGCGAGCATCACCAGTGGATAGTTGACATTTTGATGGGATATCTGTCAAATGACCAATGACATGAGTTCTGAATAAAAATATCTTGACACTGACAAGCTGTATATAATTCGAGGCCCATAAAGTCCCACAAGATGATTTAAAAAAATATAATAATGGTTATGCAAGTTATTTATACTATGCTTTTTATCAAAGCCTTTATTTATTCTGTAAATAAATGATAAATGTCAGAAGGTCTTTTCATATTGCGCTAAGAAGTAGTCTTGGCCCCCTTCCTGATTTCCTAGTTTTTATACGTTTGTCGCACTTAAATGTTTCACATCATTGAACAAAATTAAATACTACAAAAACGTAACACAAATAAACACAAAATGCAGTTTCTAAATTAAGGTGTTTATAATTTGGGGGGGGTCCAAACCTCTACATGGCCCTGCGTGAAAAAGTGATTGCCCCCTAAACCTAATAACTGGTTGGGCCAACCTTAACAGCAAGGTTGGGCCAACCTTGCTGTGGCATGACCTTTTTAAGGTCATGCCACAGCATCTCAATCAGATTCAGGTCAGGATGTTGACTAGGCCACTCCAAAGTCTTCATTTTGTTTTTCTTAAGCCATGCACATGTGGGCTTGCTGGTGTGTTTTGGATCATTGTCCTGCTGCAGAACCCAAGTTGTCTTCGGCTTGAGGGCACCAACAGATGGCTGGACATTCTCCTTCAGGATGTTTTGCTGGATAGCAGAATTCTGGGTTCCATTTACCACAGCAAGTCCTCCAAGTCCTGAGGCAGCAAAACAGCCCCAGGAATTTTTTCCCCTTAATAATAAACCTCTTCATTTAGAAACTGCATTTTGTGTTTGCTCGTGTTTGTCTAATATTTAAATTTGGTTGGTGATGTGAACCATTTTAGTGTGACAAACATACAAAAAAATAGGAAATCAGGAAAGGGGCAAACACTTTTTCCACACCACTATATATAAGCTCACCTTATGCAACTTCAGAGGCTCTGTAGTGTAGACTTTCCCCTTATCAACAAACACTATATAGACAAAAGTACTGGGCTGCATACATGATACACCTACAGGAGGCGCTCAACCATGGAAATCCTGCCAGGAAGCTCGCTGTGCACAGGGTTTGCTGATGTTAATGCCAGAGGATTTTTGGAACTCTGCAGTTATTGAGTCAGCGTGCACCTTAGCAGTCAGCAGCCCAGCTCCGGTCTGCCACATTGTGGCTAAGTTGCTGTGGTTCCTAAATGCTTCCACTTTACAATATTATCATTTATTACTGCATGCAATGTCAAAGAGGGAAGAAATTTCACAAAGTGACTTATTGAAAAGGTGGCATGCTCTTACAGTGCCATGCTTGATTTTAGTGAACTCTTTCTTTCACACACATGACTGCATGGCTTGATTTTATTGGAACTGGAAAAACACCTGAATTCAAAGATTAAAAGGTGTGGCCCAATACCTTTATTTATACTGGTGTCTGTTTCATGCCGTGTCTCTTGATATGCAGTATTTTACACTAAATAAATACATTTTATTTTCATAATAAGAGTAAAAATAACTCAACAAATATGTTTTTCAGGTCAGAGACAGTGGTGGAGCGGATGCTGTGTAACTGGATGTCAATCTGCCTTTACCAGTTTTTGAAGGTAATGCAAGTTTTGGGTCACTGGAAATGATGCAGTGACTGACAGGAGATTGATTTGATTTGAATATTTTCTGGTTGCAGCTCTGATATGTTTTGATTTTAGTAGCTGTTCCATGTTACAGTGAACTTTATGGTATAGACTGGTGGTCTGAAAAATATAGATGTTGTTCAATACATTTTTTTTAAGAGTGAATATACTTTATCAGTTATTTTAAAAAAAAAAGTATGATCGCATGCTTCAATATTAAACTGTGGGCTTTATGGATTTCTGCATTTCTTTCATTAGTGCTCGTGTTGAAAGTGCCAATTTATTTGACTTTTAAGCTGCTAATCACAACAATTAGCTGCTTTACAACAGCTGTGTCAAGCTAAATGGTTTTGTGTGCCTCTGTGTGTTTGTGTGTGTGTGTGTGTGTGTGTGTGTGTAACAGGACTCTGCAGGCGAGCCCTTGTACAAACTGTTCAAAGCCATCAAGCACCAGATTGAGAAAGGCCCCGTGGATGTCAGAGTGAAGAAAGCCAAATACACCCTCAATGACACAGGCCTGTTGGGTGACGACGTTGAGTACTCTGTCCTGGTGAGATCGACGCGCACACACTCACTCACTCTCTCTCACACACACACACAGACACACACACACACACATGCACATGCACAAACACACACAGAGCACCCCTCACAGTCAGTCATAGAAATTCAGAAACTCAGCGTCATAAAAACTGCACACTCTGCTTCAAGATTGCATGGTGTTTTGTGCCTGGTGAGCAATACATACACACTGTGCAGTTGCCGTGGTAACCCCCCCCACCACAAAAAAAAAAAAAAAAAAAGCCCTGAGGCGACTGCCCGCTTTTGTGTGACATCCATTTTCAGTGTCAATGTTCTCAGCTCAGAAATGACACAGCCAACACAATCCAGCGTAGCAGGGAAATGTGTGGCTTAGGTTAAAGTCCTACAAGTGGGAACAAGTATGGAGTACAAGCCACCTCCACAACCTCCCCTCAACCTCGCAGCCTGCACCTGCTCTCCGTCCATTTGGGCAGCTTTCAGGAGTCAGGAAATGCCCGTGTGTCTCGTTTTGATATTGTGTCTCGGTAATGGAAGCTAATATGAACCCAGCTGTTTTTTGTTAAAGTCAGCACAAATAAAAAGACCCATGGGTAATGGCGTTGTCGAGGACAATTATCAAATTAGCGTGAGTTACACGTCTCCTTCTGTGATGGATTGCTTTCTGTGATTGAATTACATAGGGAGGAGGAAAAAAAAAACGCTTGACAGATTTCAAAAGCAGATGCATTGCTTCCTACTGGCTTAAATTTACAGCGTGCTACTCTTATGCACTTTATATGCAGCTGGGCTGATAGGGTTGCCATTGTGAGTGTATTCCCTGGCTCACATTTGAAAGCGTTGAATGGTCAGTTATTTCTAACAGAATTGGATGTGAGAGGCGAGGCGGGTCAGTTGGCTCCTGCTGAGCTTTGGTCATTAGCTGGCCAAAAGTCCTGTCAGGTGTCACCAATGTGTGTCTGTGTGTGTGCTTGTGTGCTTATAAAGCCCTGTTGCTGTGACAACAACATCCAAATAGAACTTGGCGTGGGTGGGTGCCTGGGTGCTCTGACCATGTTTGAATATCTCTGCATGTTTGTATTTTATTAACGTAGGTGCACGTTATCAGCGTGAGGTCTTAATGTGCGATTCTGTTTGTCAGACCTTGCAAGTGCTGGTTCAAGGCGAGGGGCCGGATGTTACGCCCGTCAAGGTGCTGAACTGTGACACCATCTCGCAGGTGAAAGAGAAGATCATCGAGCAGGTGTACAGGAACCTGCCATACTCCCAGCGGCCCAAAGTCGACAGCGTCACCCTGGGTGAGTAAATGACGGCCACCTAAAAAAAAAGCAGATGAACTAAAGCAGGAACGTCAAGTAATGCTAAATAATGTAACTGTTTTTTCAGTCTTAAGTGAAATTAATTCATAATTAAATGAGAAGTGAGTTATCTGAGAGGGTGAATAATTATTTCATTTCACATGTATTCAGTATATTTTATTATTTTAATAAAACAGCTTTTTATTTCAGTTTGTGGAGTAAAAGAAACCAACTTAGCTTAGAATTTATTCATTGTCAGCAACATGAAGAAATCGTTCATCCCTAAACAAAGCTATGCTCGCTACTGTAATCAGAAACCTTGGGGAGTGACTTGAAAGGCTAAAGCTCCACAGACATTTTCTAACTTCAAAGTCATTTTTTTATTCCCACGCACGCTGTAGATCTCATTCCTTTATACATTTTAGATAAGCAGAGATCTATTTTCTTTCAGGCTAACTGCCTTGTATTTGGTTTTAGTTGTAAATGAAATGCAGACGGTGGTGGGCTCAGTTATGCAGAATGTGTTTGGGTGCAAACTTTTCTATTATGTTTCAATTATGCAGAAACTACTGACATGTGACTTCTTCACCCGAGTTCAGCCATATAGCTAACAGGCGAATTTAATAAATGCATCATTAAATCCCAAGAGATAACTGAGCAGATAGCTGCATTCGTTAAAGATCACATTATTACAGTGTAACCACAGGACAGCCGCATCCCAGGATAAAAGTAATTGAAATAATATAAAAAAGTATTTTATTTGAAATGTTTTACTCCCACAGCAGAGATAACTTGCGTTTTGAATAACGGTCTCATCCTGCCTTCATCACAGAGTGGCGCCCTGGCTCAACGGGCCAGATTTTGTCGGATCTGGACTTGACCTCCCAGAAAGAAGGCAGGTGGAAACGCATCAATACTCTGGCACACTACAACGTGAGTACTGCAAAAATTTACTATGGAGTAATAAGAATTGAAATTACAAAACCAAATGACTGGGGTTCAGTATCTGATGTAAATCAATGACCATTTAATGTGCATTCAGTTCGAATGTATAATGTAATTTATATGTAGAGTTTCTATATGTATTTCTTTTCTTTTTTTTCCACAATAAAAAAATGTTTATTTACCTTACTTTTTTACCACCAATTTATACCTAATCTCTCAGTATAAATAAGTATACATATAAATACTTATTTATATATAAGCATTTAAACTTACCTTTATGTAAAAATAAATTGCTGATACTTGTATCTTTGCATACTAGAAGTCTCTTCTCTTGGTTATGTCTTTCTATGCAATCCTACATTAAGCCATTTTAGTTTTTTCTTCCAAGTATTTTCTGCAATAAAAAAAAATTAGCAAGATGTATGGCAAGGACACAGCTTTCTGCTTACAAAGCCACATTGTAATGTGTTGTTTTGTCAAACCATATAAAATTGCAGTCATGCAACAGCTCACATGTGACCCTACCTGAGGAAACAAGATTAAGATTTCTTTTTTATAAAATATGTATGAAATGCCATAGCAAGAGAAAGTAAATGTGCGATATGTTCTCAAGGATAACATTGGAAGCTTCCTTTTATCTTTTTATATGACTCTTTAGTTCAAGTCCAACAACCATCTCCTTTCTATGCCAGTAACTACTAAGCTGTGTAAAAGCTAAGAGAAAAAAAGCTTTTATCCTTAAAGTGCTGCTTAAAGATTTCATCATTAACTTTCATGGAGTGTATAGGTGTTCAAGATAGATCATTTACGATAATGTTGGCCCAAAGAATATGCTATACAATAGCACTGTAATAAAATTCTTCACTTTTTGTTTTTATCACCTACAAATTTTAATTTCTTACCTGCGAGTCCCATAGCTTTCTCTTTGTTTGGTCTTGTTGGCTCTCAGTGGTGACAGAATGCCACTAAATCTTCTTGGCACTGTATTGATCCACAGAAAATAAAGGTCACTCGTGAATATCCCCTACCTGTTCTGCTTTTCAGCCACTTAAATCCGCCTCTTTTAAAGGTGCTCGAGTTTCTTTCATCCTACCTGCTGTCTCGCTGTTGTTCTTAGACAACAGACCTGCTCCTATAGATTCATTGGCTGTGTCAGGGTAGCGCTAATCACAGTATTTGTGGGGTCAATAATAGGTTGACGCCAAAGAAAATGGCCTATAAATATCCCAATAAAGACTCACAGTTCGTGTCCGCTCATTCGCATTGATTAGGAATTAGATCTGGGTGCTAAAAGGCACTGCTGACCACAGTCACAGTAGCTATTAAATTCAAAGGTGTGTTAAGTTTGCATCGTTGTGTGTGTTGTCATCTAACAAAATGATTGACTGTACATTCCAGGTGCGGGATAACGCCACATTAGTTTTGTCCAAAGTGCAGCACACGCAACAGAACTATGACCAGAATCAGGAAAACCACGAGGAGCGTACGTATCTCTAAGTACACGCATGCCGTGCACATAAACACACACGTGTTGAACCCAGAAGGACACAGATGAAATGTGTACTTGAGAGTTCCTGCCTTTGTTTTGTTTCTCCGGGGTTTTTGTCCATATTCCCACGACCAATTAACATGCTAATACATGTTGCTTTATTTATAACACGCTTTGAGATTATGCAGAAATAGTATGTCCTTTTATCTTCAGCTTTTTTATGTACATTTGAGAGTATTTGATGGTTTAGCATTTCTTCTTGGATAGTCTCATTCAAATTCAGTAGACACACCCTCTCATGTTTTAATTTTAATCGTCTGAATGTTTTCTGTAAGCATGTGCATGAATAAATCAGAAGCAGAATTGTCAAAAGAAAGTTTACACCAGTGTTTTCCTCCAATAGGAAATGCTTTATTGGAAGATGATAAAGTGTTTCACTTGGTGAGGCCAACAGACGAACTGGATGAGACCAAATCTAAACGAGGAAGCATAAAGGACAAGTCGATGACCAAAGCCATTACAGAGATCTATCTAACAAGACTCCTTTCCGTAAAGGTACAACAAAAAAAAAACATTTATGCAATTATTACAGTAAATAGGGCACTGTTACACTGACTAAACAGTAAAATTCTGCTTTACAAACCAAGGTTTTTCCAAGTTAAAGCTATTTTGGAAAGAGCCGAAAATGCACAGTAAAAACTTGAATAGCTGTACTCTCCTTGCAAATAGTTGTGCCTCTGGTATTTCTGGCTGTGCTCTGTGTCTCTGCCCTGTCTCACATTATTTGTGGCCCCTTTCAGGGAACACTGCAGCAGTTTGTGGATGACTTCTTCCGCAGCGTGCTGTGCTCTGGGGCAGTGGTCCCACCAGCTGTCAAATATTTCTTCGACTTCCTGGATGAGCAAGCGCTGAAACACAACAATGTGGATGAGGAGACTATCCATATCTGGAAGACGAATAGGTAAAACAACAGGTCGACTGCGTACACTAATGATCACTCTCAGAGTTCTTTTTGTATGCTGTATGTTAGTATGTGGATGTACTCCAAGTATCAAAAGTACAAAAGTATTTGTTTCCGGCCTCATTCCATGAAATCAATCAGTCCACATGACTCCCTCAGAATAAGCATCAGACAATAACTATTTCTGTGTTACTGTCCCCAAAAGTACATATGAAGTACTATTTTTCCCCAGATTTTATGGGCCCGCATAACTTTATAAGTACAGGAGATAGCCACTTAAACTTTATTCTCACCTGAAAAGCAAATTTAAGCTCTTTTAAACACTGGAACTCACTCCAAGTGTTGCAATGTAAAACAAAAATCTTGTTTTTATTTGCCAGGATTTTTTTCTATGACCTACTTTATGCATCAGTATCAGAGAATACATCACAGTTTTTCCACTGCAGCAATTTATTGTCTAAGATTTAGAGTAACAGAAGAATCTGTGCCTGGGATTTATTTTTTTATTTACTAGAGGACAATTTAAAAAGTGGATTTGGGGTCATTCTCAAGGGTTTTATCTGTATAATATTTTGGACGTAACACACTGATCAAATAGGTTTAGGTCCTAAAGAAGTTTTCCAATCCTTGCAATCAGAGCATGGAAAAGGGTGGAGATCACAGAGTGCTCCTCTGTGGCTCTATGCTCCATGTAGTCAATATAGATATCAGCCTTTGCCATTAAGGGATGTTAGATGGTCATTAGCAGCTAGTTCATTGTTGTTGATGTTTCCTTCCCTGAGAGGCATTTTTCCCCACTTGCTATTAACGGTATTTCAACCAAATGTGTATAATTACTACATCTTGTTCCCTCCTCCTTAATAGAACAGGAAATTATGCAGATAGTTTCATACATTTTGACAGTACCTTTTACCTAAATGTTTAAAGTAACATGTTGTATTAGTGGACTATGGGAAATCTTTTCATCTTCAGTTTAATTATAAAAAAATTTAATCAATATTTTCTCCCAAATTTGGACTGTTCATGTATTATTGCCATTTTTGCCGGGAGAGGGGGAAAGTATTTGCTTTCCCCCTCTTTCCTCTTCAGACCGGAACCATCTGAGCACCAAACTGATTGGCTGATTCAGTTAATCTTAATGCTTTCCATTAGATACAGGTTGTTGTTTTTTAAATTTAAATCAGAAAACCAATGAGTAGCTATAACTCCCGAAAATGTAAAATAGTAAGAGCAGCTTTCTAGGATAATTTTGTCTTAACTATAGTGGTGCAGAAGTATGGCATAGTATGAAAAAATGCATCTTGAATGAAATACAAGGACCTCTCATTTAGATACGACTGTGGTATACAATTTCACAACCAGTCCACACAAACACTGCTATCCGATTTCATTCCCACCAACAGAAATCCCACTGCCTGAGACACTGTAACTCTCCAAGAAATAAAACTTACTTATCCCAGAATGGACAGAATACAAATGCCCAATTTCAACTTACTTAGTTTGCATTTGCAATCCCCCTGCTCCCATGTGACATTTAAGTGCATAAATTAGTGTCACGTCGGCTAAGGCTCAAGCATACAAGACGACGTGTTGCATGTAGATGCCGGTGATTGACGCAAGGCTGGCAAGAGAGCAGCCACACAAGGACAGAAGATGAGCGATTTAATTACTTACTACACTCCACACCACACTCTGCATCCGCCCGTTCTGTTTATCAAATCAACTGAGGGCCATGTACTAAATATGAATGTGTGTATGAGGCATAACAACAAACAAACATGGTAATTATGTCCCAAGCTAATTTAATTCTGTGATTATGACAACATTGCTATTTTTATGCTTCCATTGTATTCTCACGGCAGCCTTCCCTGGAGATATTACCAAACCAGTATGAATTTTATGCGGTGCGTTTCTTCTCTCAGATGGCAGAAGACGTTCTCACCGATTGGGGAGGAGTTTTTTTCCTAAACTATTGTATTTGGTTGTTCTTTTGAATGTAAAAGCTGATATGAGTTTGGAAGAAAGTCTGTGGAGTTTGTTTTTCCGTTCAGGGGGGAAATTAGCAAGACCGTTCGAGCATTGCATTATGTAGTCTGGGCTTTAAGTTGTTAGGCTGCAGAGGAACCTCAGAGGTCAGCTGCTTTATCATTTCTAATCATTGTTTGTTAGAGTAGACAAGCGTCGTTGGATGTTGCTTTGTGCAGATCCCTTTAGTTGTTAAAAAAAAGTCTTCAGAGATAATTTTTTTTCTTTTTCATTTAATTTTCTGTGAACAGCAATAGTTCTCACAGAGGTCAGCATCGTGTGAAACAGTAATATAAACTGACAGTCAAGGGTATTGTTCTGAATAAACTGACACCGACACGAAAGGCTTTTCTCCATCGCTGTTATTATCTTGTACTGCACTCAATTGCACCTCAGGCAAGTGCTCTCACACATGAAATGAAATGCCTCCCTGACTTAAATTAATTCATGGATGTAATGCGGTTGATGAGACACCCCCCCCCTTCTGAAACAATAATACCGATAACAACCAGTGATGATAGACTGATTTCTTGCCCCTCTTTTTAATACCCGTGCAGCCTGCCTCTGCGGTTCTGGGTGAACATCCTCAAGAATCCCCACTTCATCTTTGACGTCCATGTGTCTGAAGTGGTGGACGCCTCACTCTCTGTCATCGCCCAGACTTTTATGGATGCTTGCACCAAGAGTGAGCACAAACTCAGCCGGGTGAGTGGAAACGAATGGACAAGAGGAGGGAGGGGTGGGAGAATATGAGGTGGAGGAGTGAGGAGGAAAAAAGGAAGATGGGTGAAAAGATGGACAGAAGATGAGAACAAATTTGATTATGTGAAAAGGTTATAGGCACGTTAATTTAAAGTGCCATTTTCACTGAGTTGTATCCCTCCCCCTTTAGGACTCGCCAAGTAACAAACTACTCTATGCAAAGGAGATCTCCACCTATAAGAAGATGGTAGATGAGTAAGTACTGGCAGCACTTTCCATCTGTTATCATTGGAGACTGTAATACCTTTTTTTAAATATCAGTTAACATAATGGAGCAATTACCACCTCTTGTCTACTCTTTATGTGTGTGTCTGTGTGTTTAGTTACTACAAGGGCATCAGGCAGATGATATCTGTCAGCGACCAGGACATGAACACTCACTTGGCAGAGGTGTCACGGGTAAGGAATACATCTGTCATTTTTGAATAGAACACAATAGAGTAGAATATCTTCATTGTCACTGTAACATGTGCAGTTAATAAGTGCAATGTCTATAGTGCAGAGATCACTCACAACAGTCATAAAACTAAATCTGTAAATTGCATAAAACTATATAAGAGATGAAAAAAAAACAACTTTTCTCCATTCACCTAAACTGCAAAACCCTCCATTGCACACAGCACAATCATGTGGACAATGCAGCATTTAATGCTTTTACAGCTCTGGGATAAAAACTTGTCTTGCTGTTAATGTTGCAATCCTTAAGGTTTCAGTCTAGGATTATCATCCAAAACATGCTTTTTAACATCCCTCGAGTGTGGGTATTGAACACATTTAAGATTGTTGGGTTTTTTGGTTTTGTTTTTTTAACCAAATGCCCCCGGGGACTTAGTTATTGATATAATAAGTTAAGAAAAAGGTATTTCCTTTCTAAAGACGAACTGCCAACTCTTGAGCCACGATCGTGCCAAGATCGTGGCTCAAGAGTTGGCAGTTTGTCTTGTAATCGGAAGGTTCGAGCCCTGGCTCGGACAGTCTTGGTCGTTGTGTCCTTGGGCAAGACACTTCACCTACCGCCTACTGGTGATGGGCCGATGGCGCAATATGGCAGCCTTGCCTCTGTTAGTCTGCCCCAGGGCAGCTGTGGCTACAACTGTAGCTTGCCTCCACCAGTGTGTGAATGTGAGAGTGAATGAATAGTGGAATTGTACAGCGCTTTGAGGTTCTCAAAAAGCGCTTTATAAATGCAATCCATTATCATTATTATTATTATTATTATTATTAAAGCCTCTTTTGTACTGGCATGTCAACTGTGAGAGATTCATGGTCCACTTTCAAGTCCATAATGTTAAAATATTTTTTTTGTTCCATTTATTTTGGGTGTTTTTGTCTTTAATTGTCAGCAGATAGGATAGGGTGACACAGGAAACCAATGGAGAAAGTCATAATTGAATCATATTGCATTGATGTGGCATCCACATAACATTTTCCACAGGAAGGACTGTATGAAAATTGTATTTTTTACTTACTGCGCCAAGGGTGCACTTTGCAACTACATGCTGCTGAAAACAACAAAAGAGGAACTGGTGTATTTGTTTGCACTGTTGCTGAATTAACTCAAATGGTTTTAACCAAAAAGCATGTCAATAATTGACTTTCTTTATATTATAATATGAAAAACAGGATTTGAGTTTATGAAAATCTTAAGGATTATAACTTTAATGCCCGGTGGCATTACATATCAGCATTGTTCAGAGGCTTATTTATGTGTGTGCAGTAATTCTCATTTGCTCCGCCACAGTTTTTAAAGCCTGGGTGTAGTTTATTCAGCTGGGTCCAGGTTCGTGGTTTGGTTGGATTTCCACTTTAACCTTTAAATTTCTGTTTATGTTTTTCAGTCTCACACAGACAAACTGAACACACACGTGGCTCTCCATCAGCTTTACCAGTACGCCAGCAAATACTATGATGGGGTAAGAGGCCCTTCTTTTTCCTATCACACCCGAAGGAGGCTATTCCACTGAATGCACTACTGCCCACTATATTATTGGTTCTCCTTTTTTTTCTCTCTCTCTTCACTCTTGATATGCCAGAAGAGTGATTGTATGAAATTTTAATTGAAAGCATTTCTGTGGGATGTGAATTGGAAAATTGCTCTGGGAATTGATTTTTAAGAGTCCATTGTGCATTGCCACTTGAGGTCACGAAAAGGGGATAAACAAAACCTAATGAACAAGTTGGATAAACAAATGGGGCTGTCAGTCTCCCCTAAGTGGGACTCGCAAAGAATAACAGCTTATATGACGCGATTGCTGATGTCGAATAACACCATCTTCTCCTCCCACTCTCCACCCTTCTTCTTCTTCTTTGTCCTGTGCTTCTTCTCTGTCCATCCCCCTCCTCCTTGTTTCTTTGCTTTTCCGACATTACCTTTATGCCATCCTCTGTCCAACTCTTTGTCTCCTCTCTATCCTCTACACCTATTATACCCGACATCTCACTTTTTTTTTTTTTACTGTCCTTCTTACCTTCCTTTTTTTTTTTCCCCAGATCATCGCTTCTCTGGAAGAGGACCCAGCTGCCCAGAGTAAACAGCTAGCCCTGCGGCTCCAGCAGATAGCAGCCGCCCTGGAAAACAAAGTGACTGATCTCTAACCCACTAAGTGGAGGGAGGAACCAAGGGAAGGGGGAATATCGCCAGTGACTACAGGGGCTTATTTCTTTCTTTTTTTTCTTTTTTTTTTAGTGAATAAATTCCAGAAATGAGGAAATGTGAGAAATGGGCGTGTTTATTGTACAACTTGGTCCTGGGGTAATTTTCTGTTCTGTGTGAAGTAACAGACTAATAAAATGCAGAAAGAGAGGAGACAGGAAGAAAATGGTGGGTTACACTGTCATAGGTACGCCTTAAAGCTCACTTGCCAAACCTTAAAGGTCTGCGCACTCATTCATGCTTCACTGAATATTGCTCCCACAATGCAGTGCGGCAGAACTCTCTCTGAGATTTAAGCCCCTCTGTGGAGCACTGGCATAGGAGATAATCAGATGTTCAATTTCTCTCTGTGTAAAAAAAAAAAAATGGTTTTAAGAGTTGTATTATATATTTTTTTTATCGTGCAGTCTTTATGCGGAAAGCTTTATAAGAAAAAATATCTTTTTAAATGGATCACCTTGTGGTGCGGATAGTGTTTTTATTAGCCTGTGTATGCGTAGATGCCTGTGTGAAGTACTTGTGGAAAAAACAAAAAAGAGTGTGTGCTGCTGAATTTAAGTGTGCGTTTGGGTGGATTGCACGTGTGCGAATGTGTGAAATTGTGCGTGCACACACGGGATGCCTACTGTCAGGCGCGAGGGTGACAGGACGCCTGCTTTGTCGTTTTAATTCCCCCATACTCAGTAACACACTGGAGCCTGTGCTCTCAATGAGCTTTATGACAGAGACCAAAGGGTCCTCAAAAGGACGCTGGTTAATCTAGCAATGTACAGGCTCATATGAATGACAGATCACCAGGCGTTTCAGAAACATTTGAGTTATATTCTTTTTCTTTTGACTCGGATTTGGTTCCGGCTGGATTGCCTGTTGTGCTCGTGGAAATCGATAATAGCACAGTCTGTCTCCCTTTATTGTACAGTGCCATGAAACATTCCACTTCAACTAAAGCACAGAAGGACATTTAATACGTTTTAAAGATATTATAGTTAAAGACTGTGTTTAAGTTTTTTTTCCTTTGCTATATTGTTTTATTTTTATATACATATATGTATCAGCAAGAAGCAACCATTTTTCCTGCCACAGATTCGTGTCACTCATATTAGCCCTGCAATAATGTCAGTATACCATGAGCCACAATCAACAGTTGCATTTGCTTACTAAAGTAGCAGTTCAGCAATATGTTAGAAGACTATTCAAATTGTTTTATGCATTGCTCATGTTTATGATTTTTGTACCATATTTTTAGTATTACCCTTGTAATGTTCCAAATAGTCATCACGAATTCTGCCTCTACAGCTATGAAATAGCCTGTCGCTGATGTTAATAATTTAGATGAGATTCAGTCGGTACTTAAATGGCATGCTCTGAACAATTATCGTGGATTTAGCCTCTGTATGATGTCGGGGGAGGGAGGGGGGTTGTTTGGTTCAGTCGTGTACATAATTGTTATATTAATTGGGTTATTGATATGTCAGTGTCAGAACCGAGGTGTCGCCAGGGTAGGTTGGTTATTTCTTGGGCCATTAGACGCCGTCCCTAAATTGTAGGCCTTGCTGTTGACAGATGATTTAATTGTACTCGCTGTATCTGATCATGGGTGTGTGGATTTGACGGCGCATGACGCTCTCCACAGCCCCAAGAATGTTAATGATTCCTGCCTTCGCTAGAGAGAGGTGTGCACAGACCTCGAGCTTGCCTGCCTGCTGTCTCAGCATGGCACCCTGGCATCCCGACCAACAGCACTTGGCACTGCCCACTCAGCGCAGTGCAGAGTGGCACTCTGTATAATGGAATCAGCAGGGGAGGCTTTTGATCTTAATTGCATGCCAACTGCAGGCTCCATCCTTGTCTCCGGTGTTGTTTACTGCTGAGTCCTTTCTTACTGACAGAGTTGATGCAAGAAGCTTCTTTCAGAGCCTTTCTTTCACCAAAAATGTGCCTTATATAGGATATTACATATATTGTTTCTAAGTTATTCTACTGGTAACCTAGGTGACTATGATGATGATAGTGATATAGACACAGCAATGTATTTGGACTTGTGATCTTATGTGTGCTGTCTCAAATGCTAGATGCCCTGCTGCAGCCATTTGCGTGCCAATAGGCTGAAGATGTTTCAGTAAGATTTCTTTTATGGTTGCAATTTTGACGTGTGCATTTCCTTTGGGTGTCTGTGGTGTGTGCTTAGTAGGACTTTGGTGGGTAAGGCAAAAAAAGAAAAAAGAAAAAAAAAAAGCCAAACTGATTAAATGTAAAACAGTGGCCAATGTGATTTGGGTTTCCCTTGAAAATGTCTGGCATTCCTAAATTAGTCTGAAGCCAAAAGGTTATCCTTATGTAGATGGATATGCGCAAAATTGTTCCAGTTGTGTTCATTTTTTGCCCTGTGTTTCTCAGCTGTTCCACAGTGTGTACGATAAATGACTATCTATACTCGACAAATGACCGTTCTTACTGCTGTGCAGTTATTATTTTTATTTCTCGTTTCCTATATCATATAAATCTTTGTAAAACGCGTTGAAATACTGTATTCTATCTGTATAATCCTATGCATTGAGTCCTGGGACAAAAATAACAAAAGTGAAAAAAAAAAAACCTGTTTGTGCAGTTGTCGAGACCTTTTTTTTCCCCATTTTGAAACTTGTGAATGTGCTGTGATGATAAAAGAAACTGGGACGCTCCATTTTCAGTACAGGACCATCAACGGAAGCCAACATTTTCCTTCACATCCGAGGCAGCTCAGAAGATTCTTGATCTTGTACCTGATCTGGTTGTACTGGATGAACTTAATTTTACAAAAGTTGTGTGTGGACGGAGGGTTACAGGTTTCATCATACACTCCTCCGTTAATAAACTCAGAGACATATACGCTCTTCATATCTGCTGTGTTTCTTTCACCTTCAGCATATTGATTTGCTTCAATTTGACACCCACCTCTCACGAATAATGCATGAGAAACAATCACCTTGGATGATAGAATAGCTTTTTCCACTGCTGAAGGAAACTCTCTTTTGTGCAAGTCTTTGGTATTCCTGCATGACCTTATGAAGACAACATGCACAGGCAAGAGTAATGGTGGGGTTTCTGAAAATTAAAACCACCATAGCCCTATTTATGAAGAAGAGGACCAAGTGTCAAAAGCTGACAGTTTTTCCCCCTTATCACACATATTCCTTCATATTATGACCCCAAACGACTTTGTTGATAACATCAGTTGATATCATCAGTCTTCATATGCAGTGTATCCTATGATGGCTGATGCTTTTTTTCCCCAAATGCCACATCAGGTTCCTGTCACAAGGCTCGGAATACAAACTAGAAGCCAAGGTCTGGCTTCATGAAATGAGTTGATAATATAAATAGCCTCGCCGCATCTCTGTCATCGGCGGTGAAGGTTGGAAAAATTGCGGCAAAAAACATTAATTAAGTACTGACAGCTAAGAATGAAATTGGAAAAAAGAAAGATGAAAGGCAAAATTGCCTCATCTGACTGCTTAACAAACCCAGACGCAGGGGTGGAGATATCAAAGACAGACTAGGAGCCTGCACGGGCCATCTTCGAACCGGGCGGATCACTGATGCAGCAACAGATAGAGCAACTTCAAGGGCTGCTGCCAAAGCAAGAGTGATTACACTTGATTATCGCAAGCACTGCATTTTGTACACTATCCTTGATCACTTGTGGGAAATCAAAGGCGATACAGTACTTTATATTCCTATTAGGACACGCGCCTTACATCATTTTGGGATTCAACATTATTTGCCGCGCACAGCGCTTGTGATAAGATTTCTAAATAACCATGCCCTTCACTGTCTAGAAATCAATGATACTGCACACTAAGAATAATTATTTTTCAGTCAGCCTCTGTGCCGGGTTTCAAGAAATTGGGTTAAAATCTGCACGATTCCTGGCTTCTGTTCCCCCGCATAGGATGCTTCTTCACACAATGCAGCCAGCCTCTCCTTCTGCAGGTTAAGTCTCACCTCCACGTTTGAAACCTCCTAACGAGATTTGGCTTTGATTCTCTCTGCCTTAGGGACGGAGGAGGAGGAGGAGGAGGAGAACTTGGAGCAAATAAAAACAATGATGGTGTGGTGTCATTCTAAACAGTTGTTCTGATGAATAATTTAAAACCACGCAGGCAGTTTCTGACTCTAGGGTTCTCTAAGCTCATATCCTGTGAGCATATTAAAATATCTCGTTGAGTTAGCTTGGATTTTTACATGTGGGATTTTATTAAGCTTAGTATGAGTTTAAATTGGTTGTAGTCTACTTAACTATTGAGTCTAACGAGTAGTGAGGGGCGGCAGTATCTCACTACCCAACCCTAACCCTAACCCTAAACTAACCCTAACCCACACATAAAAAAGACCCTCAAAATGTGATATACAAGTTATTATAGGCAATAATAAAAAAAGCCATCAATATCACTACATGCTTTTTTAAATGTAATTATAACGACTTAATTAGGTGTACATACAGAGCGCCTCCCACTTCATTTGTCAGATATGTGTGCAAGAAAAATATAATTAAAGGAAAATAACAGTCACGAGTACATGTAATTCTTCTGATTACTGCTCATGCTGGTCATTAAAGGGGTACTCTTTTCTCAAACATGAGGGACAAAGCCCACTTAAATCTAAAACAACTTTAGCTGCAGGTGATCCTTGGACTGTACTGCAAAACAAGAACTATCGGCAGGTTTTTCCGACAGGGATTACTCCTAGTCTTAGACTTAAAGATAAATTCAGCAAAGACCTCCATTGGGGACGGGGGTATGGTTAGTAGGCCTGATCCATTTCTGGGAAACTGAACCTATCAGTTTTGACCCAGGTCATTAACTGCATTCACACTAGGAATGCATATTTGTTGGAGGCTGCATGAGTGCCTGTCAACTTTTTCAGGAATCTGATCAGCGAAAAGAGGAGACCATATTCAACCATCAGGTCTGTAATTAGAATGTATTCACCCATAAGTAGTGGAAACCGCTTAGGTGTTTTGCTGATAAATCATTGAAATGGTCTATTTATAAACGATTTTACTCCCAAACAAGCAGAACTGCAGTACTGGCTGCAGTAGCTTTGAAAGTGTTTTCTCTGGATATCTCTTTTTTGTCATTTTAAGAGTTCTGTTCATTAATAATTATCGTCAATTACTTAAAAGTGTCCTGTCATAGTAGACAAAAGTACATTTTTCGTGTAACACCTGAATGCAGCAAAGCGCGGTTACAAATGACACTTTTCTCATCCCCTGACGGACGAACAAAACGGACCAATCAGTCTGCCCTCTGCAGTATCATTAGCCAGTCGTTTGCAGAGGAGAACTTGATTGTCCAATCAGAGACAGGGGGAGGCAGATCTACTGTTTCTTGTTTCCTTGCGGCGGACGATGGAAGATGAATGAGGCGCCTAGCTTGCTTTTAGCTCCTAAGTGCAGCAACACTGCATATTAATTTGTAGCTGAAGTAAAAAACAAAAACAAAATCGAAATAAATATATAATTGGTCCGACTGTTATTGCGCTTAAACGTAGCTGGAAGGCTAATCGATGCAGAGGTACATTGGTCACAACAAACGGTAGCATGCACGGGAGGAGTCGCTGGAGGTGGATGCAAGGTTCAAATTTTCAGGTGAATTAATACATATAATACTATACCAAGAAGATAGAAAACTACAAGAAGGAAATATAGTTTTAGCTCGGAATAGCACAGGGCTTGCTAAAGAAACAAAAACATGCCGTTTGATATCTCAAACGTTAGCTAATAAGGCTAACGGTGATGCTAGTTAGCTGACACAGTATACATATAAAAACAGCCAGAGTAAGCGCACTATGTATAGGATACATACGCACACACGTACGTATACTGTGGTTTATAAAGGAAGTAGTCAACAGTAATATGTCTACCAGTGTTGGTTGGACTGAGTTATTGTCTGATGTCTATGTGTTGTTAGGAAAACGTCTGTTATAGTTACAGTTGTTCTAAAAGCAATCACCTAAAACTTGTTTGTTTTACTCATACAGGCTGAGGCAAGAGAGCTACCATGAACCCAAGCCTTAACAACTGCATGATGCCCAGCTGTACCAGCAGCAGCATCACTGAACTGCTGAGTGCCCTGTGTGACTGCAGCCTTTCTGGGGTGTCATGGAAGCGCAGAGCACTGGGAGGAGTCTCAAGAGAAAGTTTCCACAGGGCTCTTAAAAAACGTGCCTACGGTGCCCTCCTGTCTAACCTGTTTCAAGATGGCACCAAAGGACCTGCACCAGGACTGAGTGCCACAGCTAATACACCACCGAGAAATAAAGTCTTGATGATATGTTTTGATTTACGTGTGGCTGGCTGTCGAGAGGAAGCAGAAAGGCTGGAAGAGCAGCTCGGGAGGCTGCCGGAGGGAGGATACTCTGGTTTGAAGGAAGTGGATGCAGTCCTTGACCTTCTTGTGAACCTTGCTGGGTCGGCACCTCCTCCCCCTACCTCGTTCAGCAGGGACTATATGAGAAGAGAGAGGCCTGTGCTGCGGATGCCTCAACCATGGAGCTACCAAAGTGAGGACTTGCAGAGGCTGGAGGCCCGGGCATGGGGTCTGGTGTGTGGGGAGGAATGGGGGACTTTGGAGAGTCTGTATGGAACTCAGAGGCTGATGGATGCTCCACCTGGCACAGGACTGCTAACTTTGAGAACAAAACTAGAAGCAGAAGAAAGATTTGAAAAGGAGACCAGGCTGACCCTGTTTGGAGCACTCCAGCACACTCGCACCTCAGACATGGACATAAGACTAGATCTGCCTCCAATCCCCAGTAATATTGATGTAACAGGGTTGGCGATACGAGTAAGACACCATATTATATCCTTAAGTAATATATTTAGTTTAGCTTAGGCTGTTTTATCATATGTCCACTTCAGCAGCTCAGCGTATTCATATTTGCACAGTGTTTGATTTAAATAATTTATCTTTGCATTGCTTTATGCACTCTCTCTTTGTTGTTCTCTGCAGGTGCCTCCTTGTTTAGATCAGTGTGAAGATGAGGGCTTCCAGTCAGCCTCCAACCTGACCCCAGACTCTCAGTCAGAGCCTAGCCCCATTCCAGACTTTGATATCTGGGAGGCTCTACGCACATTTGAGCCTGGAAGACGCCGCTGCTGGGAGTCTGTTGGCTGGTAAGTGATGTGTCAATTTGATTATGCTGTAAGCATGCCAAACTTCTTTTCGTATTTAAAAAAAAAACAGCTGTAACCACTAACAGTTGTAAATCTAGTTCCTCACTATAATATGAGAGCAACTACTGATTCTTTTCATAGTTTTATTGTTCTGCCTTTTTGAAATAATTGATGGGTCTATAAAATGCCAGAAAAAGCTGAAAAAAATATAAATAATGATAGATTGAATCATAGAAGCTTGCTTACTTTTTTGTAAGACCGAAGATGCCAAACTAATGAAAATGTGGGGGAAAAAAGCATTTTTGAAAAAAATAAACCAGTCTGTGTTTGGGTTGTGAGGTTTAATATAAATAAACATCTAAATGTTAAATGACAACAAAATCTGTGACATATAAATGAACAGAAATCCACTTTAGCTGGTAGATACTGAATTCAAGAGTATCCTGAATTAAACCAAAGCCTTTAGTTTAGAAAATGACATAATGACACATACACTATTAACTACAGAGTCATCAAGGTATTGGAGAGGCCCACTTGCTTAGTTTTTTTGGGTTTTGTATTTTTCTTCCCTCTGGAAAACTGAACTGAATGCCTCGTTTGTCTCACTAGCCCACCTGGAAAAAGGGAGTCTTTCTATCTAACAGAGGGAGGCAGGGAGGCCTTTGATCAGCTCTATCGGCTTTGGGAGGGTGAAATGAGGGTGGTGAGCA